ATTTTTTTGTATCTGCCTTACCAACGGAGAAATTTAGGTGGGTCCCGTAAAATGGCCCACCCTGTATGTATATATTTAACCAGGGTTAACTGTTCTGTAAAGCAGATAATTTTCCATCATTTGTAAGTCCATACGCACACAAGAATATTGTTCTTTACAGAAAGAAAACAAGCCCGATACAAAATGTGTCCGATCGGGCCTGTGTCCGATCGAGTCCGTGTCCGATCGGCCCTGTGTCCGATCGGGCCTGTGTCCGATCCAGCCTGTGTCCGATCGGGACTGTGTCCGATAGAATCTGTGTCCGATTGCAACCATATGTGTCTGATACAAAATGTGTCCGATAGGAACGGTGTCTGATCGGGACTGTGTCCGATTGGGGCTGTGTCCGATCGGGAAATATTGCAGTGTCCGATCGGTTATGTGCGCAATCGGGACTCACTCGTTATCGTAAGTGGTCCTACTATATCCAGAGCGCATTTCTCAAATGGCCTCGTAGGGGTGTCCGTGATAACTAGCGGCATTTTAATTTTCTGTCTTAATTTGTTCTTCTGACAGAATTCGCATTTCGCAATGTAATTCTCGACGTCTTTATTTAGACCGTGCCAGTGGTGTCGTAATTTGATGCGGTGTAGTGTTTGCGCGACTCCCTGGTGACCACCTAACGGAGCGTCATGATACTCGTACAGTATCTGCTCCTTTCCTTCCGCAGAGTATTCTCTTTGTTCTCCTTCTCTTTCTTCTTCTCCTGTTTCGACGTGGTGAATCAGGTTTTTATTTTCCGTGGGATAGCGGCTCAATGCATCTGCGTTTACGTTGCTCTTCCCTGCCTTGTGGACTATTTCATAATCTACATCATTCATAATCGTACTCTTCTAGTTTGAGTCTCCATCGGATCTGTCTTGATCCAGGATCGGTCACATTGAACAGCTATATCAGTGGCTTATGGTCTGTAGTGATTTTAAATTTCGTACCGTATACGTATGGGCGGAAATATTTGACTGCCCATACGATGGCTAATAATTCCTTTTCGGTGGTATTGTAATTTTGCTCGGCTCGCGATAATACACGGCTGGCGTATGCAATGGGTCGGTCTTGACCTACCGTGCCTTGAGACAGAATTGCTCCGATAGCGTATTCTGACGCGTCGGTCGTGACAATGAACTCGTCGGTGAAGTCCGGATACTTTAGTACTGGGGCTGTTGTCAGCGCGATTTTTAGACTATCGAATGCGTTTTGCTGTGCAGTCGTCCATTCAAATTTCTCTCCCTTTTTTGTTAGTTTTGTCAATGGCTTGACTATCTTAGAAAAATCTTTTATAAATTTTCGATAATACCCTGCCAAACCGATAAAAGATTGGATAGCCTTGACTTTATTAGGGGTTGGAAAATTTTTACTGCTTCTAATTTTGAGGAGTCCGGCGAGATTCCATCCTTGGTAATAATATGTTCCAAGTAAATCACTTCTTTTCGGAGGAACTCACACTTGTCCGGTTGTAGCTTCAGGTTACTGTCACGTAAGCGTTGGAAGACTTGCACGAGTCTTTTGTTGTGTTCTTCCAAGCTTGGGCCGTATATTACTATATCGTCTAGATATACTAGACATTTAAGCCCTTGCATTCCTACTTGGATGGTGTTCATTAGCCGTTGGAATGTTGCTGGAGCGTTTTTTAGTCCGAATGGCATACGATTAAATTCATAGTGTCCGTATGACGATGAAAATGCGGTTTTACATTTGTCTTTCTCGGCCATAGGTATTTGGTGATACCCGGATGCCAAATCGAGCGTAGTGAAGTATTTTGCGTTGCCTAATTGATCCAAGATGTCTGTGATGTTAGGCAGAGGGAAAGAGTCTCCTATGGTTAAATCGTTTAGTTTGCGGAAATCTATTACGATTCTTAATTTTGACTGGCCTGACAGTAGATGGGCTGGGGGGTTACTACTACCTCAAAGTCGCGAGGACGTGGAGCACGGGGGGTATGCAGCCGCGGGGGGGGGAGCGAAGCCCCCTCCACAGGCTACCCCTCCACAGACCGCATACTCCCGCGCTCCGCGCCTCGCGCGGCGACCTCGGTTACTACGGGCGTGCCATCGCGCAGAGTAACAGAGGCATTAGTCATGTACACGTGAGCCGCATGGATCCTCCCACCATAAAATAATAAAATAATCGCGGAAAAAAAGCCGGCTCGCCGGGACTCAAACCCGGCTCGCGCGGCTGACAGTCTGACGTCAAACGTATGCGGCTAACGCGTACACCTGACGACGCGCGGGAAAAAACAAGTATACAAGGCTCATGCACATTTGTTTTCTACAAATATCTTGATGAAAAAATAATCTAGCAGAGCGTGGTTTCGATCCACGGACCTCTGAGTTATGGGCCCAGCACGCTTCCACTGCGCCACTCTGCTAGTTGAATGCAGCCATGAAAAAAGGGGGAAGAAGTGTAAGGGTACCTTCCATGGAATAAGAATATCCCCCCGCTTCACCTTCTACATAATAAAAATAATATCGAGGAAAAAAGACGGCTCGCCGGGAATCGAACCCGGCTCGCGCGGTTGACAATGTGACACTTAACACATGCGGCTATCGCGTCCAGCGTCCATCGTTCCCGTGGGATCTCGCGCGCACACACACACACATATTACATGAGGGTATAAAAGAGCCAGTACAGTAATATATAGTCAACAGTCAGTACGAATTGAGTCGTCGTATTGTGAGCACTAGAGAAAAAGAGCGAACGCGAGTCGTATCGATTCCTCGCAATGTTGCCAAAAGTAGCTGTGTGCATAATGTGGCTACAAATACTGTATCTCCTCACCGTTAACGCTGACGGTGCCGTCGTCAAAGATAACAAGAGAGTGGTGGTCGAAGAGAACGATGGAGCGGCGAGGAAAAAGAATAACGAAATGGTAATACGATATCTGCAGAGATACGGTTATTTAAACGAAAAGTTTGATAAGTTCGCGAATAGCGAGGATACATTGGTTCTTCAACACGCAATCAGCCTTTTTCAAGAGTACTACAAATTACCCGTTACCGGCACGATAAACAACGAAACTCTAAACCAGATGAGTAAATCGCGATGCGGTCTACGCGACATAGTGAATTTCGGAGAAGAGGGTCAAAAGAAACGTAGGTGGCCGAAAAGACATCTAATTAGAATTCTAAGTAGAATTTTTACTTAGCCAACAAAGTACTCTTGGATACGACTCAGGTGGCGTTCGATCTGTGGCAGACGCATCCGACGCTAACGTTTGAGCGTGACGTTGCAAAGCCAAATATTCTTATATCATGGCGCGAGGCCCGTCACACGTTCATCGATTCTCGAAACGGTGAATTGTGCTCGGACCCGTTGGACGGTCCCGGCGGTACGCTGGCTCACGCTTTCTATCCCAATGGAGCGCCGGATTCCACGTCGGAGATTCACGTCGACATGACGGAACCGTGGCACATATATCTAGATATGGTTCCATCGGACAAAGCGGTTTTGCTATACGGGTTGACTCATGAAATCGGTCATGCGCTAGGGTTAGATCAGAGTATTCCAACCGGTCACGTGACTGTTCCCCCACCAAGATTCCGCCGGTAAGCAGTCTCCGCCTGAAGTTATCCCCTCGTCATGACTGCCTTCTGCTCGTCACATCGCGTATTCAGAAGCGATGCTCTTTCAGCGGAACAGCGTTTTTCATTTGATATGCGTCGATGCGCCAGCGCGGCGTCTTGGTAGGAAAGAATGAGCCATGTGGGGGACAAACGCCAGCGGGCGAGAAGCAGGGGGATCAACCGCACGGCGTGCGCGAGTTGGAATACTCTGGGTTAGATCATAGCACCAGCAATATGTCGATAATGTATGCGTTCGCACCAGCAAACCCTCGTCCCGTTACGCTCAGCAACGAAGACATTATAAGCATACAGAATCTGTACGGCGCTAAGAATACCGACGTGTCACAAGAAAACGAATCCCACACCACCACCACCACCGCCGACGCCGTAGCCAACACCAAACGCTCCACCGGATCTATGCGCCTTGAAACGCGTTGACGCGATATTGCTGTTGGAAAGACGAATGTACATAGCATACGGAAAACATACAGGGTGGTCTAAAAGTCCCGGAACGGTTGAATATCCCGAGAAATTGTGGGTGGATCGGAAAACGGAAAAATACGTATTTCCTATTTTTGAAAGAGCTATCGAATGATACCAAAATTGACCCCCCACCCCTGTGGGTGGGGCGGGGGACAACTATAAAATCTAAAATGGGAACCCCCACTTTTTATAACAGATTCGCATTCCACGTTAAAAAGTACGTAAGTTTTGTCTGAAACATTTTTTTATTTGCCTAATACTTTTTGAGATGTTCAAGAGAAAATTTATAACTTTTTCAATGTTTAGCTTATGATATTTCGATAACTGTTTGTCAGAGGGAAAAGTAGTACAGGACTTTTTTACTTGATTTGGTCTCAGGAATATGCTGTCACAATA